TGTATGTATGTATGTATGTATGTATGTATGTATGTATGTATGTAATGTATGTATGTATGTATGTATGTATGTATGTATGTATGTATGTATGTATGTATGTATGTAATGTATGTATGTATGTATGTATGTATGTATGTATGTATGTATGTATGTATGTATGTATGTAATGTATGTAATGTATGTATGTATGTATGTATGTAATGTATGTATGTATGTATGTATGTATGTATGTATGTATGTATGTATGTATGTAATGTATGTATGTATGTATGTATGTATGTATGTATGTATGTAATGTATGTATGTATGTATGTATGTATGTATGTATGTATGTATGTATGTATGTGTATGTATGTATGTATGTATGTATGTATGTATGTATGTATGTATGTATGTATGTATGTATGTATGTATGTATGTATGTATGTATGTATGTATGTATGTATGTATGTATGTATGTATGTATGTAATGTATGTATGTATGTATGTATGTATGTATGTATGTATGTATGTATGTATGTATGTATGTATGTATGTATGTATGTATGTATGTATGTAATGTATGTATGTGTGTATGTATGTATGTATGTATGTATGTATGTATGTATGTATGTATGTATGTATGTATGTATGTATGTATGTATGTATGTATGTATGTATGTAATGTATGTATGTAATTTAATGTAATGTAATGTAATGTAATGTAATGTAATGTAATGTAATGTAATGTATGTATGTATGTATGTATCCACAGGACGTCCAAAAACACCATTTTTTTTGCAGATTTTCGGCAAAAGGATGCAGGAAGCCCAAGCCAGCAAAAAGGCCGGCAGGGGGAATCGAGCCTGGGACCCCTGTTTTGCGACACCGGCTCCCCGAAGACTACGTTTAGTGGAACGTCATCAAATTGCCGCGCGGCGCGTGGGGGACCCCTTGTGTTCTGTTTTCCAGACCATTGATCTCCCGCAACATTTGGCTCAGGGCCCCTTTTGCAGAATCGCGACCATCCGAGCGTGAGGACAAAAGAGCCATTGCAGGCCGCTTAAAGGATTATCCACAAGACAATCCACCAGGGACAATCCATCCTCCAATCATCCATTATTGGCATATTGGACTCTCTCCGAAATAGATCCAGGGACCAACAACGACCTCAACTACCACAGGGTTCCAGTTCCCTCCGGGGATAGGCAGCTGGGGCAGTGGGCCTCAATTTGTGGTAGCGGAGCGGGTTTTCCGCAGAGATCCAAGGGAAGATGTCATCAGATGGAGAAGGCTTCATGGAAGCCTATGCAAGTTCGGCAAAGCCGAGCTACACGGAGGAAACACTTAATTTATCGAGGACCGCCAAGCAGCCGCCATCGTACGACGGAAAAGTCAGCTGGCTCAGGTATGAAGAACTCGTGGACGACTGGGTGACAATCACCACAGTAGAAGCAGCCAAGCGAGGTCCATTGCTTAAGAGGAGACTCACTGGAGATGCTTACATGTACAATCCAAAATGACCTTTTGCAAGATCCTGATGAAGGAGTCAACTATTTCAAGAACACGCTGAAGAAGTACTTTTTGAAAGGTGCGACCAACGTGTATCTGTACAGACTCCTCAGTTTCTTCAACCACAGAAGGCAGAACCAAGAGTTCCTCATTTTTACCTCGATTGAAGGCAGCATGGATGGACTTGATGCCAATGTTTACGGCACAGTCTCCATCATTTCGACAGTCCGTACAGGACACAAATGCAAGAACAATTGCTCGACATCAGCAAGCAGCCGGTGCTCGAGCACCGCCTCCAGCCCTGCTAAATGAGGACGATCCAACAGTCCTCAGACAATATATCCAAGGAATGCAGGACAGACAGCGGGACGCATTTCCCTTCGGGGATAATCTCATTGCACAGTTTTTCATTATACAAAGTCAGTTGTCAGATCAACAAAGAGAACGACTCACAAGTGCAATGTCATTGAGGAACATCTCACTCGAGAATTATTCCTATGAGATGCTGAAGACACACTACCATGAACTCTTCATCACAACAAGGACATCGATCCAAGATCCATCCATCCGACCTCAAGGAGGCAGCCGAAGCGACACATTCTTCATCATCGAACAAGGTGAATATGAAGGAGAAGAAGGCTTCTGGGTTGAGGATGAAGAAGGACTTGAAGGATTCATGTCAAACAACGATGAAGCGACGTTCTGGGTCCTCGAGGAGAACGATGCGTTCATAGCAAGAAAAGTGTCGGGGCGGAACTTCAAGTTCAAGAAAAGAAAAGGAAAAGGAAAATCAGGAAACAAGAAGGGCAGTCCCCAACGAGGTGGCTTCAAACCCTTCAGAAAAAGCGGTTCTGGCGGAAAGGCCAATATGGCCAACGAAAACTATGATCCCTACGACCAGGCATATTGGGGAAAAGGCAAGGAAAGAAGGGAAAGAAAGGAAAATCAAAATTCCAATATCCCTATGATGGAAACAAAGGTTATCCATCCTATGAGAGTGGCAAAGGAA